TGATACACATTTCTGTTGACATTCTTCCCTTACTCTGCTGCTTTGCAGTTTCCCTTCATATGCACCTGGATAAGTCAAACGATTTTTAGAATGAGTGCCTTGTAGTCATACAGATGTGCACGATCCTACTTGGAAATAGATTCCTCCGTTTGTGTGTAACATCACTAGCCAATAATTTTCATGAATCACCACAATTTTGAGAACACCTTTACGGTACTTGGAAGCAAAAGGTAAAACGAGTAGATTGACGAGTGCCTAAGCACCGACAATAGATACGACCTTTATCTGCTGGTCATACATCGTCGAGTATAACGAGACGTCTCAAGACGAAAAGCCTTGAATACCGAGATGAACAAGAGCATTCCATTAACATAAGAGCAGTTTCCGAGGCAGAACATATGGCTGAGCATGCTTCAATTTGGGTCCAGAAAAATTTTGGATAGATATGGTGACTCTGCGATGACGGCATTGGTGGGAACGTATTTCACGCTTGTATATGTCGGAAGACTTGAATGCGACTTGGGCGTAAAATGGCCATAGCGCACACATTGCCATTGTTTACGCAAATGTTGTCGGCAACGTAATTCATAGTATTCACGTCAAATCTGCTAGGTTATGTGTGGGGAGCCGTAGTTAAGATAAATTTGGAAGAAAGAACGTAGTACTCGAGGGCCTGGAATAACGCTGAAATGACGTGTATGTGGAAAAAAAGATGAATTTTCCGAGAGGCAAACTCAGTTCAAATCAATCAGATCGTAAATTAGCATCGGCGCTATAACCTTCGGTTAACAGAGACGATCACGACCGTCTCGCTGTAAAACTGTGGGTGGATGTCGCGACCACATTTGCTTAGAAACGTTCTTTCCGCTTAGTTTTTATCAATTTCGTGTCCTGCTCAATATTTTTTTATCCAGATGTTTTGAATCTTTTAGCAGAGTCAGCATGCTCCACCAAACCACGACATCGACTTCTGCTATGAGAAGATGATGTAATTAACTTCACTCCCATTACTGAACCCCTCCCATTTTCTTCCAGAAGTTTGTTGATGCGGAGGGCAGCAGTGACTGTGCTTTACTGAGTAATCAATTAATAAGCGATTTCTGCACTTTGATCGGCAGATAGTGAAGCATGAAATTCGCAGTCATACTGCTTGTTCAACGTTACTTTCCAAAGAATAGTGTCAACATAATCTAATTCCTTGACTGTTTCAGAAACGGTGTTTTTCCGGAAGCCAAAAATCTCCAAACTTACCTGTACAAGATGCAGCACGAACATCTTCTCTTTGTAACGTTTGCATCAGATATGTTTATCACAAAGTGTTGACTGGCATTGTCGTCGACAACGTGAACGCCCATTAATTAGCATGGTACTGTTCTCACCCATTCAACTGATCTGGAGATGCTTGGACCTGCAAGTTAGCAAAAATATTCGTATGCTCGGGCTGTTGCATTGGAATACAGCGACATTGCTAAAAAATACAAGTCTTCGAAAAGCTGTGGCATCCGCTACGTACAATTACACGAGTGAGTTGTTCACTTGGTGTCATGAGAAAGCCAGCCTTGCAATAGAAAGGCGAGTGAGCAAGGAGTTCTGTCGCCAAAGTGACCAACCACACCGACTTCCGTAACGAATTGTGTTACTTACGCATTTTTATGAATTAAAGCAAGTTTGAGATGTTGTAACAGAAAAAATGACGGAAATCCACTATCTATTAGGGTTAGTCAGAGATAATGGGAACTCAACATTTCTTTTTGGAACTATCCCAGATCAAATAAAATATTGATAGACAAATGCTGAAACGGTACTCGACGAAGTTTTCTTTTGTTTTTGTACAGCTGTGGTATCCAATAACTGAATCTTCCACAGTTACTGAAATAATCTCAACCTCAGAACAAAAGTTTTTTTATGTTCATATTCTAAACTTCAGCTGCGTCAAAATTTTTTGAATAATGTCAATTTAGAACGTTAAACGCCTAATTTTGCAAAATAAGCGTTCGATAACAATAGAGTTAGCTTTCGAACGTTGAGGGTTTTGTAGGATGTGGTGCAATTCACACAATCTTTTAAAAACTGAGTTTTAGAAAAGGCAAACAAAAAACATGAAAGTCAAGGAAAAACTATGAAGAATTTATAATGATTATAGCTTATTCTACTTTTATATGATTGTCCTTATAACTTTGGAGTGAATCCTGACGATCAGCTAAAGTCACATGAGACGAAAGCAATTGGTTCGAAATTTTAAGAATCGTTCAGGCAATTATGAGCTCACCTCGATAACATGACTGTGAATAATGAAGTCTACTGCGCTAAACACTTTTCGTACTTCTCTATCATTATTCCGTACGATCTGCCGATAGGTTGAAATAAGGGATAAAGACTCTCACTACTCTTGACTCAATCAATAAAGAAGCTTCGACACAAATTTTGAATTGACATTTATTGCGGGGGGGGGGGGGGGGAGGGGAGCAGCCAACATGAATAGCTTGAGCCAACCGCCGTATGCGTTGCATGGGCAAATTTTTTCCACCTGTATCTACGCTATGGTGAGTTTTAGGGATTTATGCGCGGCATATTGACAACAGGAATTACAGTGTATTATTTCCAGCTATCGTTCATCTTGGCACACATCCCTATTGCGCAGCGCTTTGAACTTGTCCCGTGGAGTCTAGCAGGGAAAATTTTCAGCACATTTTCGTGTGCTTACGTCACGACGCTCGACCACGCGCTAAGTTTCATGCCAATCAGCGCGCAATCCATTGCGGGCATCCGCTGAATGAGAGATGTTGGCTGGCGAGAATGGTACAGGCGCAAGTGGCAACCGACTGGGTTCGCATTACAACAGCCACTATCACGGAGAATAGCAACAGTGCGGCGTCGATCCGAGCGGGACATTCTTGTGGTCCATACATCACCGTTTCACGGTCAACTCCACTGTTGTGCGTTCCTACTTCTGTCTCGCTCTCAATGCGTATCACCGATGGCTGTGCCCTCCCCTACTATGATATCGTTTTTCTTTCTCTCTTCTTCTGCAATTTGTAAATGCGCTAGATTATCATTACAAAAGAGACGCGCCCAAACTCACATTTCACTGCAACCACATGAGCGCTCAGCTTCTTACGCCACAAGCACTGTCTACATATGCGTAGAAGAAACATGGGATAAGAGAATAGGTAATACGATTGCTCGTACTGTTGGCATCTCGCAGCTGGAGTTGTACATCAATGAAATGACTCTCGGTTCCCGTCCTCAAGCTTTGAAACAATAGAAATCCTCAGAATACAAAATAAAAAATGTGCTGTTTCTTGCTCTTTATCTGATATGTTGAAGATTTACTCAGTGATTTCGCAAATCAGTTTTGTTTGGGTTTTGGTTCCACTCTTTTGAGGGTAACAGTTAATATTTGGTAAAGCCGATGAATGCAAGAATATCAGTTTGTTCAGTGCGCCTTGGAGTACACTGTACTATTGCTGTTCTCTACGATTAGGAGTATTTGGTATATAGCTCAGATTCATGTCGGTGCTTATTTTCGAGTATAGAAGCAACTACATGATTATCCAAGAATCTCAGCGTTTGAATGCCAGAACAGAGGGTAAGGCGCATAACGACCAAATGCACGGAGGATCACGAGAAGCACACACAATCCAAATGAGTTTGAGATCTTTTTTATGCTAGACTAGCTGGCATACCCGACTCCTCCCGGCCCTTTAATACACTGTGATAATTGCTATTTCTGATTTTTTGCACTTTTCCCTATCCAAAACCTCCCCATTATGTTTTCGTAATCAGCATGCCCTCTTACCCCCGCAGCTCAGAGTTTGCAAAAAATCCACAAGATCGATAAAAGTAATCAATAACTTCAAAACTAATATTGTATTCGTAATCAGCATGCCCACTTATCCCGCTGTGCCAACTCCAAGCCGACCCCAAGTCTAACTATGCTTAAAATCGATGAAAACCGATAAGATCGATATCGGTTGATAACGAAAAGTAGCCTACGACACCTGCTTCACCCTGAAGTGTATATGTGCAAAGTTTGGACCGGATTGGGACAAGTATAGGCGATTCATAGCACGCAAAGACTGCGGACATATCGGCGTCTCCGTGACTGAGCGCTCTTTCGTTCCTCTTGCCGTCTGCTGTTTCCCCTATGCACAAACTATCTTCGTCGGACGCAATGATGCCCAGTCTTTGCATGGCATGAAACGACGATACAAGCAAAATCTGCGGTTACAGTAACTTGATGGCAAAGGTACTGCTCAAGACCCAAAGTGTTTAGCCTTACTTACAAACATTCAATCTGGGATCTCTGCCGCTTTTTCGCATTTCTAAAGCTGTTTTCCGTTCCTGCGGCAGCGCAATTTAAAGAGGGTATTGAACACGCTACCTGTTGAATTGACGGATTAGTTTTCGTTAAACATGATGATATGATTTCTGTGCGTCTCAGACGTCGCATTCGTTTGAACATAGTTTTTCTTTTCTCAACTTCGGCCTCATGCCAACTTGGTTGTCGATTGTTTGCCAAGAGCAAAGATATGATCTGCACCTCTCCTCCATTTACCATGCATGGTTTACGATACTCAAATACGATAAAAATTCGTCCCACAATGGTCAGCCTTTTTCAGGGCACCGCTATTATTTGCGCTTTTCGAACATTTCGCGCCTCGAATATTTGTCACATTTGCAATGTCTCTCATTTCGAAACCTTTCCAGGACGTTGCCTCGTTTAGAATGCGAGTTGGTCACAATTCATCGGATTTTTATGGTTAGCTATCTACTTTGTGAGTAACAAACATATATTGTCTCTTCATCCTATATTAAAATCTATTATTTTTCGAACAACCACTCCCAGTCGAGTCGTACAACCTCTACAAAATGATGACCCGCGAGCACAACCATCGTGATAATCTCACTGATTCCTACACGGACTTCTTCACCAAAGGGTATACTTGTCCTCGCCAAAACTCTGAGTACTGCAGTTTTCCAGGTCGCTCCAGCAGATCATGGATCCTCATCACTCTGACGTTCCTTTGAACGGAGGAAATAAGAAAGTGTTTGAGGATGAGCGCATTACTTCATTCCACGCCGCTCCACTTTTTGAACTACCTCATAGCAATTCAATGAACATGCTGTTATACGACTTGCCGCCGGTAAATATATATTTTGCATCAAGACATATTTCCATAGATGAGCCTTAAACTCATATATTTTGTACGGCCCAACGCGGTTTAAAATATCTTAACTTTAAACGCAGTTTTGAAATCTTTTTGAAGCGTTGTATCGCTTCAGCAGTACTGCCATATAGGCCGTCCGCGCAGGGCGCGGAGAGTGCGCAAGGTGTGTATTGCGCGTCACTCCTCTTTCCCCGTGCACTCTCGCCGCCTGTTTTTCTCTGCGCTCAACTATCTTCACTGGACGCAACAGCGTTGCTCTCCGCGCGCAGCGCGGACGGCCTATATCATCTCTTTCAGTTGATCTAGTAAAGCTCTTCCGATCAATCCATAGCCCCTGCCCTACTCCCCCGGATAAAGCTCTTTGCTAAAACCAGAAACAGCTGTGGTTATCCCGCTCATAAGGCTGGGTTTATACTGCTCTGTAAGTTCCGGAACAGTACCAGCACAGCGCACAGTTCGAGCGCTATGCTGGAACTGTTCCGGAACCCACAGTATGGAGTATGAACCGCCTAACCTGCAACTGTCGGAGCGGGTCAGCTTAGCTGGTTCAGCTGACACTTTAAACACTCTCCCATCTAATGGCAGCATCAAAAATAGTCTCATCTCGACCTCTCTGGTAGATGGTTTTGAATCTGAACTAGAGCAGGCTCTTCGCGGTGGACCATGACACCATGTAAGGCAAATTAACACGTTTCGGACCGGTGCTGCACATGGTGCAGCACGCTGCTTTGAAGGTTCTTTCTGACGTTTGCAGGAGGCTTTCTTTAAATCCGAAGTTATTGAGTTAAAGGTCTAAGCTCTTACTTTTTAAATGACACTGTAGAGCTGAGCCGCCGATATTTGTTTACGATATATGAGGACAAATCGAACGACAGTTGCAACGAAGTGCGGCAACGCGAACGACGCGTGCGACGTCGCAACTTTTCTTTGCTCCAATTTCAAAGAGATAAACCGTAGCTTCAATAGTGACGAGTACAGAGTACAACATAGATACTTTTAGATACTATATGAAACTGAGTTCTTGCTCCCATCTTTCAAGAAAGCACAAGAGTCCCTCTCAGGCGACGAAATACAAACGCTTCGAATTCACCCAGAACTTTGGATATGGAGCTTATCTGGCATGCTGATTACAGATGTAGTCCACAGTCGGCAAAATAAGGTTCCTTTGCTGGCTAACGGCCGAAAGTACACTCTTTTTCGCCGCGCGCGATTTCGCGGTCCGAAACGTGTTAAGGCTAGGGGCTTCACCGCAGCCGGTCCGCTCCAGTTCGAATTCGAAATCGTCCATTAAATGCTCACTGGACGGCGACTTCTGAAGGTACGAATTAAAATGCGGCAGAATGCGAAAGACCATCTGCTTGTAAAAAGAAAACCGCTCCAGAATCTTAACCTCCTTATTTCATGCGCGTCTACCAAATCCGTCTTGCCACGAATTTTTAACAGATACCCAAGGTGCGCAGTTATGGACAAGTCCACAACGACTCTCACACACGAACCTTGGCGAGGCCGTAATTGTTTATTCTCAAGATGAAAGCTTGCAGAGCTTGAGGTCCGCCTTTGCCATTTTCATTCTCACCAAAATGCACTTTTGAGGCCACTATAACGGATATAACGGACAAGCTTAGTTATCCAACAAAGCGAAAAGGTTTGATGAACAGACGCTGTTTTGAAGTTCAGTCTATACTCCCAAGTGTCGACACAGTTTCGGCGCAGCGCTGGAGTTGTGCCAAAACTGTGCCACAAAGCTCCAAGTCAGCGCTTTGAGAAAACAAGGGTAACCAGAGCAAAGTGAAGAAAGATCAAGACCACATTGCTCACATGGAAAATCGATTCTGCCTGTTGCGGTCCCCGCTCTATCTCTCATTTTGTCAGTAAGTCTAGTAGAATAAAATGTGGGATCCGTGAACAGCCGCTTCTCTATAATAAATAGGAAGAAAAACAGTAGAAAGCGGCCGAATGCTCTCCGTACCCTCTGCGGTGGGTTTTAGCACCATGTCGCAAATGTGCCGGCACTCGTAATCGAGTATGAACCAGTCAAGGCCTCGGGCATACTCCACGCAATTTCATTTGCAACGCGATCTGGCAATTTGCCAGATGTCTTCAAATGCAACACTTGCAGACTACAAAGGCCAGTGTGTATAATTTCCGCAGACAGATAAAATGCCCAATCTTCTGTACATTCAGAATGCTCTTGAGATAAGTCGTTAACAGCTGCTGTATTGTCAAATCTGTTGGGGTGGAGGACTATATGTCGCCGAATTTGGAAGAGTCCCGAGCGGATTCCCTGCAGGAACGCATGTCCGCGCATGTACAAGGGTGCGTATTTGTCGCAAATGACCGAATGGACCGCCCTTTTTCGGCGACATATAGTCCTCTACCCAATCTGTTGCAATAGAAATCGTATGAAATATGCGCTGGCCTAAGATACTCTCTGCGGAACAAGGTGGCGTGCGAAAAGCTTACCAGTTGTCAGATAACTGTAAACTGCAATGCATTCCAAACTGAGTGTTGATATCAGCTTATAGTTTTTAACAATCTATGCTACGGGCTACAGTCTGTCCCGATCGGATTCGGTCCGTAATTGCGCTGGATATGCGCCCTGTCATAGAGAGCTAAGAAACTGAAAAGAGAGAGCAGTCAGGTACAACCTATCTAACAAGGGAACCATGTTTAATCGAAGTAACCTTTTTAGATAAGGTATGCACCAAATTAAAGAGTATAAATCGCTAATTCCAAATCTATCTTCCTTATCTGTGGAACGTTTATGGACAAGAAGTTGTCTTTTATTGGAGCAAAAAGTTAACTGTGAATCTAGGGTAAAATGAGGCTGCTGAAATTTTCCTAGCCTTTAGATGGAGCATCCAAGTGTGCTATATTTTTTGTCTGAGAACATTGAATAAGTTCCTTTCATAACTACCACTACTATATTAAAGCGCTAGGAAAAATATCACTACAATTTCTATCCTATTTGCACATTTAACTTTTTTTAACTTTTTTCCATTGAAAACTCATGACTCCTCGTCCATAAACGTTCCGCAGATAACGAAGGCAAATTTGGAATCAATTTTTTATACTCTTTGATACGGTATACATAACACTTGAAAAGGCCACTTCGACTAAACATGGTTCCCTTGTAAGATGCAAGATCGTGGTGCGGATGCGCATTATCCTGTTGCGGATTGAGACAGACTGTAAACGGCGCAACATTTCTCCAAGTTATGAGATCAGAGTAAACATGTATGCCATACAAATGCGGTCAAGGCATCAACGTGGAAGTACAGCTCTTCATAACTAATCTTCTGAAATTTTATGTGCAATTGTCTACAAGTCGCAACTTACGTTACAGATGCGAATGTATCCTTCTTCCTCCCAAAGCGAGCTCGATGCAAACACCTCGACACACGTGTCCAATGTGTTCCCCATTCCCTCAGACACGTACCTGCACCAATCAGACTCGCTCAACGGTTATATCCTTAATGGTTATTCACCACCGCCGCAAGATCCAGCCTACCCTCCAAAACCTCCCACTCAACATCTTAGCCCACTGGTGAAGCAAAAGAAGCGAATACAAGTAAGCTCTAGTGTCTCTTACTACTAGGGACTTTTCAGATACAAATTTTTTTCGTTGGTGTAATTTTTAGGCAGTACCATGCCATTCGAACTCAGTATGTGCCAACTGTAAAACGACAGAAACGACACTATGGAGGAGGGCAAAGACTGGCGAGATAGAGTGCAAGTGAGCTATGCAAACGGCAATATTATACAATACTAGCTGGCTTACCCGGCTCCGCCGTATCCGGACCAAACTTGGCACACACACACTTCGGGCCCCGGCGGGTGTCACAGTCCACTTTTCGTTATCGATCGATGTCGATTTTACCGATTTTTATCGATTTTTTGGCAGAGTTCACCTTCAGGGCTAGGAGTTGGCACAGGGGGGAAGTGAGCATGGGGATTCCGAATACAATATTAGTTTTCAGAATTATCGATTGCTTTTATTGATTTTATCGATTTTTTGGCAGAGTTCACCTACAGGGCTAGGAGTTGGCACAGGGGGGAAGTGAGCATGGGGATTCCGAATACAATATTAGTTTTCAGGATCGTCCATTACTTTTATCGATTTTATCGATCTTTTTGCAAAGTTTGACCTGCGGGGCTGGGAGTTTGCACAGAGGGTAATCGAGCATGCAGATTACGAATACAATATTAGTTTTCAAGATCGTCCATTACTTTTATCGATTTTATCGATTTTTTGAAAATTTGAGCTAGGGGGCTGGAATTTGGCACAGGGGTGTTCGAGCATGCTGATCACCCCCCTTGGGGATGATCAGCATGCTCGATTACCCCCCTGTGCCAACTCCCAGCCCCCTAGCTCAAACTTTGCAAAAAAATCGATAAAAACGATAAAAGTAATCGATAATCCTGAAAACCAATATTGTATTCGGAATCCCCATGCTCGATTACCCCCCTGTGCGAACTCCCAGCCCCGTAGCTCAAACTTTGCAAAAAAATCGATAAAATCGATAAAAGTAATCGATAATCCTGAAAACCAATATTGTATCCGGAATCCCCATGCTCGATTACCCCCCTGTGCCAACTCCCAGCCCCGTAGCTCAAACTTTGCAAAAAAATCGATAAAATCGATAAAAGTAATCGATAATCCTGAAAACCAATATTGTATTCGGAATCCCCATGCTCGATTACCCCCCTGTGCCAACTCCCAGCCCCGTAGGTGAACTCAGCAAAAAAATCGATAAAAATCGATAAAATCGATATCGATCGATGACGAAAAGTAGCCTATGACACCCGCCGGGGCCCGTAGTGTATGTGTGCCAAGTTTGGTCCCGATCGGTTCAGAAATGGAATTTTCTATTCGGAACATACGTACATACATACAGACATACAGACAGACATACAGACAGACAGACAAACAGACATTCAGCTTTATATATAAGATTCTTTGCAGCAGTTTACTACGAAGGTTCCTGATAAGACAATCTAGATCCACTACATTGTTCATCTTTTTCCGCTAAAACACATCAGATATGAATTTGAAGGACGTAAAGTCTAGTATTTGACGCTCGAATATACAGTCTGCCCCAATCGGGATCAGGCCGAACAGCCGGCTGAATTTGCGCGCTCGCAAGGCTAAGGGTCTGCGCTGCATACGCGCGCTGTCGCAGAGAGCGAAGCGATTGAGCAGGGAGCAGACTGACTAGCCGTAGATGTGACGCCTTCGCGGCACGGGTTCCCGCCATGCCAATTTTGGCCTGGTTGGGATGGGGGAGACTGTACAGGGCTCCTAAATTGCAGAGTCGTTTGCACCAGCGGTCGCGCGACCGCGTCGCGCCCGGGCATCAATGGCGCTGGCCTCGGCAAAATGCCCGGGCGCGAAGCGGTCACGCGACCGCTGGTGCAAACGACTCTGCAATTTAGGAGCCCTGTAATTGTCCTCACGAAAGTTGCTTTTTGTGGGGTAGAGTACAGTATTGTTGCCGAAAGGAAGTGGTCCCACGCGGACATCTGCAGCAGACCATGCAGTACATATTACAAGCATTACAGATTTGTACCAGCTGTCCGCGCCGGGTGGAGCCTATTGGTGACATGTAATCCCTCACCCCTTTTTGTGATTGCACCATCTGAATTGAGCACTTCAGCAGGTCAATGACGGTAAATCACCGTAGTCGTGAAAAAACGGTTTACAGCGAGAAAAGGGAGTCGTACAGGGTAATCAAAAATCGTGACTCTGACGCGGCCGAGCGCGTCGCGTAGCGTTTGCGGCAACCACACTTTCTAACAATAAGATCCCACCTCTATTCGAATGGGTTTTTTTGCATACATATGATATCACTTACAAGGGAAGTCCGATTAGTCGAAGTGGCCTTTCCGAATGAGTCATATATCATTCTGAAAAGCTTTAAACGCTGATTCCGAATCCGATTTTATTATCTGCCAAGCGCCTCTACATGTCGAGTTATAAATGTTTTTTGGAGCGAAAAATGAACGCAGAATTCAAGTAAAGTTAACTATTACGGACTTTTCAGCGCCCAAATAGAGCAACATGTAGTATGAGTGTTTCGGACAGAAGCTATTCTTAATGGAATGCTCTGATAATCAACATTGGACCATTTGAGCAATTCTGACGAATTTTGCTTTGATTACGCATTCAATTTTCTAACCCAAAGAACGCTCATAACTTGGCGTCCAGAGGCGCTCGGCAGATAACGAAGACAGATTCGGAAACAGCGTTTGACGCTCTTCAAAATAGTATATGACCCATTTGGAAAGGTCACTTCGACTGATCCGACCTCCCTTGTTAGATATTGAAAGTGACTGAGGCTAGCGTTAAGGTGGTTTTGTAGTGTTTGATTCTCCTATGAGAACAAGGAGCGCAGTTGAATCCGTCGCCATGATTTTGTAAAGGCCTACTTGAATTTTCTTGCCACTCAAACCCAAAAAAGAATACAGTTACAAAAGCGACTGGTATGAGGACAGGACACTGATGACAGCATCTGCGCGAATATAAATAACATACTTGTGAATGTGACAACTTCCGACTTACTCGTAAAGAATGGCAACAGAGCGCATCCTGCAGTACGCACAAGTGCTGTTAGCAATGCAAGAACACTAAATTATCACTACACTATTAAGCATCAAATTCACCAGCACACGGCATGGTCTGCAGCACAAAATCGCCCGTAACTTTGTACGCTGAAAGCCCGCGAGAGCGTATCTGGCGCATGGCTGCGACAGTGGCCTGCGGACTACTACTCTCTGTTTCATTGGGAGTGGCGGGTGGAGAGCAGAATTGCGATCGCTAATCAAGCCTGACAAATATTAGAGAGCATTCTCGCGTGAGATATGCAGGGCTCAGAGCCCCGCCCACCACTCGCCACTCCCAGTGGTACAAAACCTAGCATTGGCGCTTGATGACTCACGCCGCGCACCTCCCTTCGGAAGTTTTTTCGCCCTTTCCCCCCCCCCCCTCACTTCCCCCTCGCCTCTACACTATACTTGGGGAAATTCGAAATTTTTTTCGAATATTCGAATATCGAATATATTCGAAAATTGAAAATTTCGAATATTCGAATATCGAATAATATTCGAAAATCGAAATTCTCGAATATTCGACTATCGAATTTTATTCGAAAATTGAAATTTTCGAATCTTCGACTTTCGAATATTATTCGAAAATCGGAATTTTCGAATATTCGACTATCGAATATTATTCGAAAATGAAAATTTCGAATCGAATAATATTCGAATATCGAATATCATTCGTTATTCGAATTTCGAATATTATTCGGTTCTCGAATGTTATTCGATTTTCGAATATCATTCGATTTTTGAATACTGACCGAATAATTAACGTGATTGAGACTGCCTATGAAAGGCCAAAACACTAAGAATAAATTGCTTCATGTAATTGCTAAGAATGGACACATTCTTATGGTACAATTTACGATGGAAAAACGGTTTAGTCGTGACCTGAAGAGACTTAGGAACTTAAAAGCTACTCGTGTGACGGTTATAAAGAGATTTTTCGTACTTCAAAGAAGATTATATATCCTCACTGATAGTTGCGATTGATATACAGCGGTCCCAACAGTATGTAGATCTGAAGGCTGACATCAATCTAGAGTATGGGGCGATTTGTCAATCGCTTTTCACTGTTTAAAATTACCGTAAGACTGAAGCAGGTTTCAAAACATCAAGAGCCATTTCCCCAAGAAAAAGAATCAGAAGGGCTGAAAGTCTTGCTTTAGATTTCTAAAGACACTCACTTTATGTAGAATTTGCACTCGACCGTAATGCTTTTTTTTTCAAAACTTACGCCAGGTATCCTGTGTCCCCCAGAAAAGTTCACATGTGAGCCAGCGTGCGTTCATGGTGCGACGCTGCCTTTCGCTCTTTTGACATGTTTCTCCTGCGATTTCAACGGAACTGCCCAAGGTTAACACGTTCAAAAGTGCGAAAGGCAGCGACATGACGTGGTACCTATGGGAAATTTGCTGGGGAACAAACGATACGCCGTAACAAGTGTTTTGCAACGCCTTTCGAAAATGCGATTGCCATTTGAAAAGCTTGAAAACTCATGCGTAGTAAAATCAGCATACGTAAAAACACTGCTGCATAGATTTTAGGACTTTTCTGGGGACAATTTTTTTGGATGTCTTCTTTTGCAGTTGGTCTATAAGCTGGAGTTTCCTACTGTGATAATCACTATAAGAAAAACATGGGTGATTCGTTTTCTGCTGTATTCATAAGCTGAAGCCATCCCTACTGGATGTTACCCAGAAATTGGCAAAAGACTTTGAGAGGTATTAGCGATCAAACGGTGTGTAGATACTTTTGAAACATCCCTTATACGCTATGCATATCGAATTCTCGAATATTCGGTGCTTATCGAATTTTCGAATAGCCAATTCTTATCGAATTTCTGAATATTCGGTGCTCGACGAATATTCGAATATTTGATGGACATCGAATGATCGAATGAATGACCCTCGAATATTCGACTATCGAATAATATTCGAAATTCAAGATTTTCGAATATTCGACTTTCGAATAATATTCGAAAATGAAGATTTTCGAATATTCGACTAACGAATATATTCGAAAACTGAAAATTACGAATATTCGACTTTCGAATTTTATTCGAAATCTCAAATTTTCGAATATTCGACTTTTCGAATCATTCGCATTCGAATGATTTATTCGAATGATCGAATAATTATTCGATTCGGTCCCAAGTATACTCTACACGAAGTTACCGCGAAATGAGCTTTTGACTCCTTCCCTCAGCATAATCCCACAATAAGCTGTAGTAATCAATGGTTCATATTCGTGATCAGCATGTAGTCTCAACAAAATCTGACCAGGGAAGCTTGTTTAGTCGAAGTGGCCTTTTTAAATGAGATGTATACCACTTGAAGAGCGTAAAACGCTGATTCCAAATCTGCCTTCCTTAACTGCAGAACGTCTATGGACGAGGAGTTATAAGCGTTTTGGGGTTAAAAATTAAATGCGCATTCTGCATAAAATGAGCTACTAAAATCTTACTAGTTCTCAAATAATGCAACCAAGTGTGATATATTTTTTATCGCAGAGTATATTTTGAATAAACTGCTCTGATGATTATCACTGCTGCTCCATTGAAGAGCTAGAAAAAGTATTACGGCTATTTTTGTCATACTTGGACATTCTTTTTGCTCCAGTAAGCCTCATAACTCCTTGTCCATAAACGTTTTGCAGATAAGAAGGGCAGATTTGGGATTAGCATTTTATGCCCTTCAATATGGTATGCATCCCATCCAAAAAGGCCACTTCAACTAAATATGCATTCCTTGTCAGAATCTCAGTTTTGGTGTTGATATTTTCGAAAAAAGACCTGAATACATAAGTGAGAATCGAAAAAAAACTTGGAATTTCCGATTGATTGAAACAATAATTCGAGCTTATGTCGGTTTGCGCCTTGCTTGAATCGCCAGCTCTAGGATGAAAAAGCTCAAAATTATCGGAAACCACATCAGTATAGGAATTTAACTACATATGAAAACAGGGAGATGTAACGACATTATCTTTCAGTGCTTGCAACTTGTACTTCCGTAAAAACAACACCAGAAGGCCAATGTCACTGTGTAAGGATACAATAATGAAAAGAAATCGAAAGCCACGAAGTAATTCGTCGTCCTCGAAGCAGCACTCGACCGTATCTGGCTGAGGTCTGATCTCATTCCAAGTATTAGAGTTTTCGTTATTGACTTGCTGTGTTACATTTCTGGTGCTTGATTACCGATTTGATTTCACTATTTCGCTTAATGTGATTGTTGGTGAAGGAAGAGTAGGAAAGGAAAGCTGTATGTAGGTCTCCTTTTGAATGTATTCAACTCGTTGTTGTTTTAATGACCATTGATAGTCACAAAGTGGACCAAATTTCTAGAATATGAACTCTGGATTGTGTGAATTGGAAGAAAAAAACGTAAAGTTTCAACAACCGAATTCTGAATGCTTTGGGCGCAAGGCTTCTGATGTTTGATCCAACAAATTTGGAGTGAAGAATGAAAAGTTACAGAGTTCACAGATGGGAAAGCTTGCATACTGTTAGAGGAATTTGAGTGACAGTGCATAATTACAGCAATAATGAAGCAAGCACCAAATTGCCAACTTTTTATCATGTAATTATTCGCCAACAGCATAACTTCTGATTTCTGATGACATTAATGTGTACTTGTATTTACCTCTACCTTTTTCTTTTTAACTTTTCTGTTACCAGAGCTGTTGGCTTCGAAAATTACACCTTCACAGAAAGCTTACAAGGGAGGTCCGTTTGGTCGAAGTGGCCTTTTCATATGAATTTGATACGGCTATAAAGAGCATTGAACGCTGATTCCAAATCTGTCTTCGTTATCTGCCCAGCGCCTCTGGACGGGAGGCGTGCAAGTGGTACCCGGGCAGCCGACTGCTGCTACAGTCAGCCGTTAGAGCTGGCGGCAAAGTCGCTGCAGATGGTACAGTAATCACGCTCGTCGTCTAAAACTCTTGCCGAGAGGTTTTCTCGTACCTAGTTGCTCTGAGGTGCGATATCAGCCTCAGGAGCGTGATATCCTCGATATCTATATATTTTGAACAGCAGAAAATTCATGTTTTTGAAAAACATGCAAATAAACAAAGGCGAATAGGGGAGAGGTTTTTCAAAGGAAAATGATCACAAATTTAAATCACTCTAAAAAAGTCAAAGTTAGCAGAAGCTGAAAAGTTCAGAAATGTCTCAAATTTCTGGAGATTTTTTTCTCGTTTCTACGTCGAAAAACGAACGAGAATAGTTACAGGAAAATGTCATGGATATAACGGCAAGAAAATTGTGTCAAGATGATTATTCCATACAAAGTGGTGGTAAGCGAGCTAAATAAGGTCAATGATAGCGTAATATCCTCAATATCTATATCATTTTGAATCGCGTCTAGTTATCCTAAAAAGGAACGATCCCAATTCAAGGGGGCAAACTGGAATGGATCGTGCAGCGAGTAGATTTTCCGCTTAATATAGTGTGCTTGCACTGGAGGTGAAATGCGGTAAAATTTGCGCGTGAACAAATACCTGCGAAAATAAAATAAAATAAAATAACAATAAAATCTACGGCGCCCGCGACGCCGTCCAATTGCGCGCGCAAAAGGCTGGCATTGCTGGCGTGGCCACTTGTTTACGCGCAAATTTTACCGCATTTCACCTTCAGTGCAAGCACACTATATTGAGCGGAAAATCTACTCGACTGTATGTCATTGGATGCGTCTCTAAGCTGATTCCAAATCTACCTTCCGTATCTGCGATGCCATTCTCTGGAAATAGGTGTGAGCGGTTGAAAATGTGGTTGGGGCAAAAAAATAGACGTATGTATTTTTGAACAACCAAAAAAAACAACTAAAGTTCTTTGGAAAAGCTAGAGCGATGACGAGTCCAAATTTGGCAAATATACAGCGCCATATTTCAAGAAGTAGTTGATCAAAAGCACTTCTTTGTGTTTCTGTTAAATGTGAACATTCCCTGAAATCAGTACTCAAAATCATGCTAGCCATGCAATCCCAAGTTGGATTTCAAAGCACATCTTATATATAAAGCTGAATGTCTGTTTGTATGTATGTCTGTCTGTCTGTCTGTCTGTGTGTACGTATGTTCCGAATAGAAAATTCCATTTCTGAACCGATCCGGACCAAACTTGGCACACATACACTACGGGCCCCGGCGGGTGTCATAGGCTACTTTTCGTCATCGATCGATATCGATTTTATCGATTTTTATCGATTTTTTTGCTGAGTTCACCTACGGGGCTGGGAGTTGGCACAGGGGGGTAATCGAGCATGGGGATTCCGAATACAATATTGGTTTTCAGGATTATCGATTACTTTTATCGATTTTATCGATTTTTTTGCAAAGTTTGAGCTACGGGGCTGGGAGTTGGCACAGGGGGGTAATCGAGCATGGGGATTCCGAATACAATATTGGTTTTCAGGATTATCGATTACTTTTATCGATTTTATCGATTTTTTTGCAAAGTTTGAGCTACGGGGCTGGGAGTTCGCACAGGGGGGTAATCGAGCATGGGGATTCCGAATACAATATTGGTTTTCAGGATTATCGATTACTTTTATCGATTTTATCGATTTTTTTGCAAAGTTTGAGCTAGGGGGCTGGGAGTTGGCACAGGGGGGTAATCGAGCATGCTGATCATCCCCAAGGGGGGTGATCAGCATGCTCGAACACCCCTGTGCCAAATTCCAGCCCCCTAGCTCAAATTTTCAAAAAATCGATAAAATCGATAAAAGTAATGGACGATCTTGAAAACTAATATTGTATTCGTAATCTGCATGCTCGATTACCCTCTGTGCAAACTCCCAGCCCCGCGGTCAAACTTTGCAAAAAAATCGATAAAATCGATAAAAGTAATGGACGATCCTGAAAACTAATATTGTATTCGGAATCCCCATGCTCACTTCCCCCCTGTGCCAACTCCTAGCCCTGTAGGTGAACTCTGCCAAAAAATCGATAAAATCAATAAAAGCAATCGATAATTCTGAAAACTAATATTGTATTCGGAATCCCCATGCTCACTTCCCCCTGTGCCAACTCCTAGCCCTGTAGGTGAACTCTGCAAAGAAAATGATAAAAATCGGTAAAATCGACATCGATCGATAACGAAAAGTGGACTGTGACACCCGCCGGGGCCCGAAGTGTATGTGTGCCAAGTTTGGTCCGGATACGGCGGAGCCGGGTAAGCCAGCTAGTTATACAATAAATCCGCAATTGACTTTACACATTTAATCGCTTATAACTTTTTCCAGAGAACGGCATCGCAGCAGTGGCGGTCCGAGGGGAGGGGGGCGGGGGGGGGGGGGCGCGCCCCCCCCCGAGAATGGGTTGCGAAATTTTTGGGACTTGCCTATATGGGTTATAAAAATGTGCAAACGACTTGTTTATTTTTGTAAATAATTAAAATAATGTTTAAAATTTTTTAAAAATTCAAATTAGCCTTACAAAAAATTTTTTTCTGGGGCGTGGCTGACGCTACGCCCCCTTTTTCCAGATTTCAGGGGTTGGGGACCCGCAAAATTTTTGAGAAGTACCCCTAGAATTTTTTCGGAGTGCGTTTTTTTCGCGCTCCCCCCCCCCCCGGTCCGAAATCCTGGGACCGCCACTGCATCGCAGATGTAGAAGATAGATTTGAATCAGCTTATCAAGACGCATCTAATGGTATGCGGCTCATTCCAGTTTGCCTCCTTATTTGGGATCGCTCCCTTATAGGAAACTGTTGGCGGGTTTTGCACTTGTAAAGTGAGTAAATTTCATCAACGCACTACGATGCTTATGCGATGCGTACTATGCGAGAGCGATAAAATGGCGCTTATTAAGTGAACAATTTTTCAAAGATTTGACATAAAATGAACTTTTATACTTACGCAATGACAAGAAACTTGGCCATGCAGGAAACTCATATTCTAATAGAAAAAAGCGCATAAGAATCTTGTAAGGCTATGAGCAGATTTTATAAACATTGTGAGATCGGTGATATCCAGTGACGTGGCTTGTTTCACTTTTTAGCTTCCGAAGTTGTCCTTTCTGCTAGTTGCTTATTTGGAAGGCATTTTTTGCATTCTGTAAAAAATCAGCTCAGAAAATCTACTGGGGAACTGTGATTTTTGCAGCGCGCTTGAAAGCCGCCATAAGCAAACTAAACATCGTACCATATTTTATCAGATTTTACAGATACTGAAGTGTTGCTGCAGCAGCACAACGTTTGCGCGCAGCAAAAGCCATGCATTGTATGCCGACAACTTGCTTGCGATTTGCGCGTGAAAATGACCATGGCAGTTGCCTTCAACACAAGAGCACTATATTAACCTTCAAACTTATTAGAGTATATCCGTAGTATTCTCTATTATAATGAACTAATTGTTCTGCTCAAAGCATTTTCTCTGATCGCTTCAGCAGAAAAATGTTTCACCCCTGCAATAGATCCATCTTGAAGATTTTTGGGCGTTTGTGCCAAACTTTAGCGGAAGGTCGCCTCTTTGTTATTCATCGCTGATTTTCCAGGGGAGTAATCGAAGAACTCCTCTGTAGTCTCACCTATAGGCGCAACACCTTCGTTATGCCTCGCCAATTATGACGTTGTTTACGCTGGTTCATATATGATGCCCATTCATGGATTCTTAAGTATCTTCGCATGAGAAGTTTGCTGCTTTTGGTAATGATAACAAAGGGAGAATGGAGTGTATTGAATCCAGAACTCGTCTGCCCACACATTAGTGCATTTGCTTAACTGCACGCCTTTCAAGTCTGACAGGCCGGATATCAATGACGAGATGCGCCATTGTAGTTCCAAATGAATTTCTAATTTCTCCTCTCGCTGTGGTTTTGAGTTTCCCTGTAAAGCACGATGTAAAGCATGTGCCCGTTCGGTATGTGCTCTTCCAGCTTCAAAACATTGACTGCTTTCAAGTTTGTCAGGTCAAATTGAGCGAGTAAGCAGTCGTTGTCATAGTCACTAAAGTTGATTGCTTCCTTACAATGCGATAGTGTAGATATAAGATCCCTGAAGGCGAAAGAGATCCTTTCGTATGCTTAGAAGCCTCCATGTTCTTTTTATTCAACTTTATTCTCGTCACATCTACAAATCACTGCCAGCTTTTAATTATCAAAAGACGCTTATCTACACACAGCCGATTCATTTGTTTATGCGGCTCGTGGGCTACGTTATAGAGCATCTTTGTGAACTAGAGATTTCTTTTAACGAGGGGTTTACTCCCTTGACAGGAGTTCGTAATTACCATACGGTACCTCCCAATGTTAGTTTGTTCAAAAATCTAGTTTCAGCTAGTACATCATGCATCCAGCCAGAGTCTTGTTCCTGATCGCTGTTGTGATTACAAGCACTAGTCGAGCTACTCCACATGGCGTAAGTATAGGGCATTCGAAAAATCGTGACGATGGCGCGACCGCGCGCGGCACGACTTCCAATTCTTGGGTTCTATCTCTACTCAAATGGTTTTTCTGCTTACTTGTGATAGTATTCAGACACTGGAAGTGATTGACCTGAGCGTTGAGTTGATGCTTGCCTGTATGGGTGTTCTATGTATGCTCTGCGTGCACAAAGACCGCAGTCAAACTCTTCGTCACAATTTTAAGAATGAATTATAAAAGAGCAATGTATGCACTGACTCGTTTCGTCTAGCAGCGCAGACAAATATTATTATCCTATTTGGGAAAGATTGGAGACAATCTGTAACAGGTGTTCCCTTTTTTCACAGCACTATTTCCTTGAAAACCATGCTGCCTTTCTTGTCTTTCCAAAAAGGGATTCGGTTGCATATAGAAGCCAGTAAAACTATATAGTCAGTATTTTGACGTAAGGGAGGCAATGCAATGCGGCAATGTAATGCATGCGAATCACAAGTTTCTGGATTGTTGTTCATGTGCTAATAAGGGGTCTTCAAATTTTGATCCAGTTCTGAACTGTGGAGCAACTTTTGCAATCTCCTTATAATCTTATTATCAGAGGATTCACTGGGGTACATAATTTGAGGATAAATAAATGTCATGCTTTCAGTTGCCCGAGACGTTCCTCCAGAATTTCTATAAGCGATCGAGATTGGTAGTAAACGGGTAAGGCGAGATTTTTCTTTCATGAAGTCAATTTTTCCACTTTAGACTAGAAAAGATTTTTACTAGATGACTTATGATAGAGTTCTTCAGCAGATTATCACGTTGTGCAAATGGTACAAAAAAATTTTCTGAATGAGGAAAGAACAGAAAACGCAGCTGTGATCTCTACTAGATGCCGTGTAATGACTTCCCAAAGCTGCGTACCAGTACTCTCCAGAGCCTGCTTTACAGCGACGCTTATTGGCCTGAGTGCCTACAAATAAGGGAAATAGACTATAACGTAAAGGGTAAAGAAAAATGCGAGTTACAAGCTCAAGGCCAGCATCTCGAAATCGGCTTATCGCAGGTGCTGGTACGGTTCAAAAGGTCCCCTCCCCCGCAAATCATTAGATCTTGGAAAATCCGTCCTCGGAAGTCTCAAGCCCTTCCTTAGCAATTTTTGCTCTCCCCATACACCTGCTTGAACGAGCTTACAGATTCCGCCGCCACTTCCACGTTGTACTTGCAAGGTGTGTACAGAGCTTATCACATGTAGTGTCGGGTGCACCAGCTCTCCCCTCCCGCGCCCCTGGAGTCTGCGCCTCTTTCTCAAGCATGCTCTGTGATCACTTTCCCACCACGAGCTGAAAAAGGCGGAGCCTCAATGCAAGTGATTAGAGAGCTTGTTCGCGGAAGAGATGCAGTTTCAGCACGTTGCAACCGCTAAATCAGCATCGGAGCTCATGCGCGCTTACCGAACTACGGTTCCCAAAACACGGGTTTCCGAGGTTTGCGATTCAAAAAAAGGCCATGAAAAGACACGGAAATGACAAAGATATGACAGTCGACGTTCTGCCAGGACGCTGCCTTCGACTTTTTGGTCTATACCTGGTCTGTTCAAAGTTTTGTGCACGCTTTCGGGAAAGAACTGTTGCTGGTTTTGGAGATCGGTATGTAATACAGCAATAAACAAGTTCGCATCTGCTAACATCTACTGACCGCACGCTGCAAATTACCAGGAGTGAATAGCGCTTTTTGACTTTCTCTCCTTCTGTAGCATTTGTCGTGTTATACCTGAGTTTCGTCCAAGCAGCAATAGTAGTCGTTTGGGCATGATTTTAGTGTTTACGAGGTACTTTTCCGTTATCTGGACCCTTTTTTCGAAAAAGGGATTTCTTCTTTTCTTGTACCATATTCCGTCTCAACGTCATAGAAAGTAGTGTCAACCCTCATTTGCATGTTTAACGAGTTTTAAGAGCTTGTGTTGCCCTATCGAACGACGGGAGTGCTATCTGGTTTCAGTATGACCCTATTTTCGTTTAAACGGCATCATGTTATCAACGAACAGATTAGACGTTGCTTAGAATAGGGAAGTGCGCTACGCTTTCATCATCTAAGTGATGAAACAAGCACCAGCGAGGTATTAGGTTGTCCCATAAATCTCTTCATATCTGACTTTTCAGCAGCATAAGTCTGCTCTTCCTAGATTTCTAATGGGATCCGCGACATTATTGAAAGATCAAGGCAAGCTCTACAATATGGTTATCAGAAGTTTGTCCCAAGCTTGATTCGCATCGAGTTCCAAGACAAAATGGAGAAAAAATCGAAAATCCAAAAAACGAAAATAATGTAACTCTTTCAAAAACATTCTGCGAGGTTCCCACTTGCTCATGCATATTCTCTGCTCATCAGATATATCTAGATATACTCTTGCTGCATTTTTCTGATGGCTAAAAATTGAGAAAAAAATAGTGCGCTCACTTTTCAAACTTTGCCTGTAACGGGTCTATGCTCCTCGCAAATATGTGATTATATTAGGTCGTTCCGAAAGTTCTTTCCGTTTTTTCAACATGTCATAAAAACACGTGGAACCAAGAAAGGGAAACGCTTCAGGCACTGTCCGACGCAATTTTTCTTCCTCTTTTCAATTGTCATATTCCTGTGCCGCTCGCTCTTGTGGTCAGTGAGATAATGGCCGAAATTTCGAACCCATGATTTTTACCATGTCCAACTTTGGCAATTTTTCACAATCTTCGTTTTCAACTTTAGGAAAAGCTTTTATAGCAGTCGGATAGAGTAAACAAAGTGCAATGCAATGCATTTTTTCGGCGTCTATAGCTAGCCTCAAAACATTTTTAGAATTATTTTTCTGATGCTATCAAATTCCACTTTTGGGAATGCCAGAAGCCATAGAACATAAAACGGCGCACAATTAAGGTGTCATTCGATGCACCTTTTTCTCCTCTTTCTGATGAGTGCTTTTTCCTCATAGTTTGTGGGGTCTTCGGCGATAAACTTTCCATAAATCTTGATTTTGAACCCGCCTCATGATGTACCCGTGAAATGCTAAATCTTATATTTCGAAGCGGTAAACACTCAGTTACTTTGTAAAAATAGTGTACAATCATAAACGACTTTTGAAAGTTTCGAAAACCGAAGATTTGTTGATGTTCAGAGCGTTTGTGTGTTTTGTGACTTCGGAAAAGTGAAGACTTCTGAAAAAGTTAGCTAAAAAAATAATGAGAAGCCAGCTGAAATTGCCAAAAAATTGCATTGCATTGCACTCAGTTTACTCTATCCGACTGCTATTAAAGCTTTTCTAAAAGAAGAAGAAGATAGTGAAAAATTGCCAAAGTTGGACATGGTAAAAACCATGGGTTCGAAATTTCGGCCATTATCTCACTGACGACAAGAGCGAGCGGCACAGGAATATGACAATTGAAAAGAGGAAGAAAAGTTGCGTCGGACAGTGCCTGAAGCGTTTCCCTTTCTTCGTTCCACGTGTTTTTATGACATGTTGAAAAAACGGAAAGAACTTTCGGAACGACCTAATTTATAACTTATTCACTCGAATGCTCCAACAAAGTTGCACCCTTGTAGATGCCTTAGTTTCTAAGAAATATCAGTATGAAGTACGAGTATGAAAAGACTTATGGGACAACCTAACACGTCAAGCCATCATTTATGTTTTTCCTAAATTCGCAAGGCTGTAAGAGTTTGAAAAAAATGACGTTTTTGAATCACTGCTGAAAGCAATCAAGATGTTCTAATAGAAGTTCTACATTGTATTGTTCTTAAAAATTTTTAAACGGCTTTCAGGTGATCACAAATGCTCTTTTATTTCATCGGAAATGATTTCGAAAAACATGTCACAACGGAGCAAAATGTGTCAATTTTTTCCTGACACGTGGCAAGGAGGCAGTCCTCTAATTTATGAAGAAGGAACTGGTATCCCCGGTTCCGCCCCGTTCTGGAGCCTCCATCGTGCTTGACCTCCCATGTAGCGAGACTTACCCTTTTTTTGATTCCATCTCGTCTTGGGTTCGCTTCTTAGCGTCCTTACCATATCCTGATGACCAACAGATCAAAATGAGCTCCACCGCTCATTCATCATAACTATAGGAAATGTGCACAGACACACAGACACGCAGATTTTCTAACTAACTAACTCTCACATTTTCTTTTACTAAGTTGCATGTGTATGTCAAGAGGCGCGATTGTTATTGCCAGCTAGACAGCAAATAGTACATATTTAGTGTTTTATAAGGTTCTGAAAGTATTTTAGAGTTTAGTGGGGCTATATTAGATGTTGTTGCACGATTTGTCCAGTCTTACTACTTTGGAACGATTTAAAATGAAAATGTTGAAGGTCAAAAATACATGATGCAATTAATAACAATTTTGTATTTATTTTGGTCGGATTTTCAGCAAAAGCCTTCAAACTCAGCAAGTGGTAACTTTAGACAACTAGTAAGCAATGCACTTTGTCTAGTGCTTTTTGAAGGCTTGCGTAACCCTAAACTTGAGTTTTGAGTTGGTGACAGCTAGAGAAATCGCGCCTCTTGACCGTCTACCATCGAAGGTATGGTTGTGAAGAGCAAGATTTCTGCTTTGGAAGACATATTTTTCAATGTGATTCATCAAGATGCAAAATTATGATTTCTCAAAGGAAGGCTGCGAACGAACTTTGAGATCAATCCAATAGTAGTGTAATTATGCACAGCGTTCTCCAGGTTTTTGTATAATTCCTGTGCCATCCCGAACAGCTGACCGGCTCCTCTTCCTTTCATACTTCTATGAAACTGCCGACTTGATCAAATTGTGGTGAAGAACTAATCCAAAACTGCTGAGAGTGTGTCTGATAGAACTGAATATGGTAGTGAAAAAAATCTTGATAACCTCCTAGTCGAGAGTGGCTCATCGAAATCTCCACCATTTCAATATTTTACTTCTTTCAGTCAAATATGCATATCACTGTTAGATTAGAAGATCAGCACATTTTTGTAAGTTAATTTCGAAGAGAAATATGATTTTAAATAAGCGTCAGCCGCCGGGGATCGCTTGGAGATAATACAAAAGATTTGCAACCTTACCACTCTTACAAGCATTTGTTAGATTCACTTGCACGCATATTTTTTCCTTTTTCCGGAAAGAAGGGATAGGTTTCTAATTGCAGTAACCACACTCAGCTCCCTTTCATCCCCTCCCATCCCCACAATCTTTTATGCGGAAAGGAAAAAACTAAGAAAAGGGATAAGGAAGGGACTGCTTCCTCGCGCAAAATAGGAGTCTGGCAGAGTAAATTATTTGCCGGGACGGCTAATCACCTCAAAAAAATTTTCAAAGCAGATCACTGAACTGCATGGTTATCATGGTCAGCAGATCGGATTCAAGCTTTTCCCCTTGTCCGATTGTTGCAAAGTTATTAGGTGAATGCAAAAATAATGGCCGTGAACTACGGGTAGTTGAGGCTAAAAGTGATTATTCTCAAGTATCAATGCAGACACCAGGCTGATTAATAGCCATGCTTCGGAGGCTTTGTGGTACACGACACCTGAATTGGGGGAAAGGGGCGGAGTTAGGCGGAGTTTGCAGATTTTCGGTTTTCGTATTTTTCTCAAATTCTAAGTGACAAAAAATTACAGAAAGTGCATGAATGAACGTTACTATGTGTATACTATGTGATTACCAACTGGGAAGACTTGTAGGACTTTTCCTAGCGAAGATTCGATTTTTGAGCT